TAAGGCACAAGTTGAAAAGGATGCCCTGACAACTCGGATAAGGTGAATGTAAAATTCCAATGTCAGTGACATCAACTCACCTGAGTATATCACCAAGGCAATGTTTCCTAATCTAACTTTCTATATTTATCACAGTGACCTGGCTTCAACCAAATATTCATATTCCTAGTAAACCCAGTGGGAGTTAAATACGTACCCAAGGGCTTCCCTGACTGAGGAGCTTGTTCATATTTTTAATGTAACTGTATCCTAACTGCATTGCTAAATCAGAAACTACGCTTGGAATCTGGACTTAAAAAGCAATTCACATTCATCTTTGATTTTACAGGGAAAAAAATATTTGCTTTGCCAAATTTTTAATCTAAAGACATTTATCAGGGAAATAAGAATTGTGACTATAAATCACTCGGCATTGGTACAGAGAAACAAAGAGATACTGGACATGCTTATATGTTTTTCATATTTTTCTGTGCAAGATAAGGTCTTACTTTATTTGGAGTAATCTCTGTCTTGATCTCACCAATGAAATATAAAAGCTGGGTGAAGTCAGGAAGAAAAAATGTATTTCTAGGGTTACTGAAGATGGAAATTAAATAAAGAACAAAAAGAATATGGACTGTCAGCATGAAACCTGTGTTGATGTTTGCTGCCTTCTGGTTCACAGCAGAGTGTAGGGAAGGAAAGCAGAGAAAAATATTGAAGCACCTTGATTTGTTTCAGAGTTGCAAATATCCGCAGATTTGCAGGACTTCACAAGTTGGGATTTTTTTTAATAACATCATGGAATCACAGAATAGTTTGGGTTGTAAGGGACTTTTAAAGCTCATTCTGTTCCACCCCCTGCCATGGGCAGAGACACCTTCCACTAGACCAGGTTGCTCCAAGCCCCGTCCAACCTGGCCTTGGAAACTTCCAGGGATGAGGCAAATGATAATGTCATGTAGAACGTGGTCACACAGGAAAAAAAGCCACATACATACGTGAATCTCGTCCCTTTAAAGTGAAGATTTTCTCATGTTTTGCCTGCAAGAGGGCTCTCCATGGAGCTTTAAATTTTGTGGCACCCGCTGAACCGTGAATACATTATAAAGTAACCTTTTATAAATCAGTGGCCATTAAATAAAATGTTTTGAGCCGTTAAATACCATTATACAATGTGCGCTCTAATTATTTAAGTCACAAAGGCCAAATTCTCATCTCGATGCCAGAACCAGCTCAGAGCAAGTCCATTATTACAGTGGGGAATTACTTTGTCTTACATGAGCACAGCTGAGATGGAAACCTGGCCCCTGGTCTTCAAGCGCTAATGAAGTTCAATTGTGCAGAGTACTTGAAAGCTTTTTTTTTTCCCAGTTGGTAGTGTGTACAATCAGGAACACTGGTCATTTAAGAGACAAAAAAGCTAAACACAAAACCTGAACATATGTAGATGTTTAGGCCACCGGGAATAAAATTCTCCAATTAAAATACTAATAAATGCAGAATATCCCCTCCCTTAATTAATTGGTTAAATAAACAGTGAGACTAGGTGAAATACTTCCATGATTATTTAACACAGAGAAAAATCAAGAAGGTTGACTGAATAACAATTCTTCAATTAACACACAATGAAGAACATTTGAGTTTTAATTAATCCTTATTGGCACTGCAGTAACTTCGACGGAGAATCTATTCTGACTCATTTCAAAGGCAGGCCTTTCAAGTTTAGCTAATTTTAACATTTGGTGTCCAATATAAATCTACTTATTAAAAGTGATAGAAATACATGGGATTAAACTCAGACCCAAAGGGCAAGTACACTTGGGGAATTAATTTCTTTACACAGACATAGCTGCTGTTGACAGAACATGGTATGCTCCATTTCCTTGCCCTGCTGATGCTAAATGGTTTGATTTTCTATTATTTTGGGAGTTAAATCTTTTCTTGTAAATGGCCAGGAGTAGATAGATTGAACTCATCTGAGCTGGTGGTTGACCAAAACCAGCAGAGCTTGCAAGGAAGTCTTGTAAAATTTAACACATCCAACTAACAGGTTTCCACAGAAGTTTATTTAGAAGCCATACAAATTTAATAGAGTTCACTATTTTATCAAAGGCACAGAATTTCTACTGTGTTCTTCAGAATTACTGGGAACTCCTATGGCTTTGTAGCTGTCACCTGTGGACCTTTTTGGCTCAGGAACTGCTCTGCAGGGGACCATGAAAGGTAACTAAAGATAGCAAAACTATATCCAGTGCTCTTAAATTCATAACAGAGAGGTCCTCCATGCTCCCCTAAAATAAATGAAAATGACTGATCCAAACTCAGGGTTTTCCACTGAGCTCTGTAAGACCCCTCTCACTCACTAGTCATGCAAAATCTATCCAACACCCCATCACAAGGAGCAAGAGCCATCAAACAGGCAAGAAATTCATCAGGAACTGATGTTCAAGTAGTTCAGCAGCAACTGTAGCAATAGGACAAAGAGTAGTGGGTTCAAACTGAAAGAGGGAAAATTTGGGTGAGATATACAGAAGAAATTCTTCCCTGTGAGGGTGGTGAGGCCCTGGCACAGGTTGCCCAGAGAAGCTGTGGCTGCCCCATCCCTGGAAGTGTTCAAGACCAGGTTGGATGGGCTTGGAGCAACCTGGGATAGTGAAAAGTGTCCCTGCCCACAGCAGGGGGATGGAACTGGATGAGCTTTGAAGTCCCTTCCAACCCTAACCATTCTGGGATTCCATGGTTCTATGAAGTGAATAAATTAAATTTCTGGGGTTTTGTTGACATGAACATGGGTGGTCTAATGGAAAAAAAATATTTAGACACATAATGACAACACTGTGTTACATGTAGGATTGGATAACAAATATTTTAAAAGCCCTTTCAGATAAGATCCAATAACACAATAACTGAATGTTGCTTTTATGAAAAGCACCTGCAGCAGTTTTGCTGTTGTACTGCATTTCAATCCTCAAACCAATTTCTGAGTTGTAAGTAAGGAAGCTGACAAATAACTCCTTGTCCTTTAGTGATACGGCAGACTTCTTTTAATTTTGTGTTCTGATCTTCCATAATCTTAGTTTCTTTTTCTTGCTCAACAAAAGCCTCTATGTTTGAATTTATAGCTATTCCACAGAATTCTTTTTATATTCTTGATTGGATAAACAAAAGGATTCTCACTGAAGTGCTAGATATCTTGTACTGCTGATCCAATCTAGGGACAGGATCATGCTGGATAGGGCTGGGAAAGTCTGATCTCCTTATCTCCTGCAAACACACTGAGGTGTGTGGTGACAAATAGAGAATTTCTGTGTTTTCCTTGACTGATCTTATGTTATTACCATATATTTGCTTAGGGCCAAAGCATGCTCAGAACTATTCAATAACATATGAAATTCAACACCGGTCTAATTTCATAAACAAAAGCAGAATAATCAACAGAAGAGTAGAGAAAGTCTTCAGAAAAGCTGCAGAGAGCAGATTTTCCCCAAACTAAAACATGCTTGGAAGAGAGCCCATTTCAAAATGAAAATCTCTCATTTATTTAGCTCCAGATGATGCAGCCACTTACCCAATTTCGAACCCTTTATGGAGAGAAGCTGTTGAGTTTATCCAGGGGTCTGATCCCCTTTCAGTGAGAAGAAACACTCCCCCTGAACTGGCTGCCAGCCCGGGAGCACACGATGCCCGTGCCGAGCGTGAGCAGTGGGAGCAGGGCTCTGTGCTGGCTTTGTGCTCACTTGTCTTGCTTCAGAGAATCCCAGAACGGTTTGGATTGGAAGTAACCTTAAAGATCCTCTACTTCTAAGTCCTGCCATGGGCAGGGACACCTCCCACTAGACCAAGTTGCTCCAAGCCCCGTCCAACCTGGCCTTGAACACTTTCAGGGATGGGGCAGCCACAGCTTCTCTGGGCAACCTGTGCCAGGGCCTCACCACCCTCATAGGAAAGAATTTTTTCCAAACATCTCATCTAACCCCGCCCTCTGGCATTGTGAAGCCACTTGTCCTTATCTGTCACTCCAAGCCCTTGTAAATAGTTTGTGGAGGTTCAGTAACTTGGGCCATTCGCAGGAGCTCAGCATGAAGTGGAAAGGGAAGACTTGGCTTTCATATCCATTTTTCCAGGAAAATGCAAAACCTTGGAGGTAGCTCCGACCCAGCCTTGGTTCAGTTCTACTTTAGATCCACAAGAGCAATGTTAGGGGAATGCAATGATCAAACAGCAGGAGTTGTCTCCAACTTCCTCCAAAGTTCCCAAGACTTCCCAAGTGACCTTTTTGATCCCTCTTTACACACAGTTGGTACCCTTATCCACAGCAAACACCCAGCAGCACCTGTGCCCTGGCAGCTCCTGGAGAGGCACCTGGTGCCCACAGCAGGAGGTGGGTGAAGAGAATATGAGCACAAAGCAAAGGGATGAACCAGCCACAGCCAACAAGGAGCCACCAGTGAAGCTCCCGGCAAAGCCTTGGCTCTTGATCCAAGGCCCTCTCTCCTCACCACTGGGATATGCTGCTTGAGCTACAAGGAAATTAATGTGTGTTTTCACACTGCTCAGAGGAACTGCCACTGCAATGGTCCCCTCAGACCCATCCCAACGTTCCATCTTACAGAAGTTCTGGCGATGGCAGAGCCGTCCCAGCCCTGCTGTGCCCCAGCACAGGCACCAACCTCACTCCTGCCAGGCAGGGAGAGCCTGGGGCTGGATGTGTTAAGTGGAAGCGATGAAACCAGGTGGATTTCAGTTCACTTGTTCCAGGCAAAGCCTTGTATTTGCACAGCTGCAGCTCTTTGCTAAATATGAGCACTTTCTTTGGGGCTCAGCATTTTCACCTCACCCTTTTTTTTCAGGAAACCTAATGCCCAAATGGGAAAGATGAAATTATATCTGTGGTGGGGAATGGAAACGTACGAATCAAATCACTCCTTCCAAAAAAGGGGCTTTGTACAAGAAACGCCACAGCAGAGTTATTTTATTCAGGCGTGTTTACATTAGAGATGAAAAAGCCTGTCTCGTAATCAAATGGGAACCAGAAGAACATGGCTCTCTCGAAGGCTTGTCTAGACAGCCCACGAGCAGCCAAACCACAGCACAGGCTGTGGCAGCTGCAGCGATGTCACAGCGGCTCCTCATCTGTCACCGAGCACAGCCTGGGCACCTGGGGTTCATGGAATCACAGAATATCCTGAGCTGGAAGGGACCCACAGGGATCAGAGTCCAATTCCTGACCCTGCATGTACAGGACACTCCAACAATCCCACCTGAGAGCATTGTCCAAACACTCCTTGGGCTCTGTCAGCCTTGGGGCTGTGACCACTGCCCCCTGGGGAGCCTGTTCAGTGCCCAGCCACCCCCGGGGGAAGAATCTTTTCCTGATATCCAACCTAACCCTCCCCTGACACAGCTCCATGTTGTTCAGCCATTGTACTGAGGGGGAGAACAGCACTGACACAGCATGAGGAGCTGTGTTTTGCCACAGCCTGTTAGGGCAGTTTCTGTGAAATGTTATCACGGCATCGCTGAGCTCACACACTGCCAACACCTCAGCAGGGCTGGCAGCAGGTCCACAAAAACTTCCCAGAAAAGCTTGAACTTCCATTATTACGCTCCATTAAGAGCCCTGCAAGCCTAAAGGGAGAGGTGTGTGAAAGTGTTTGCAAACAGAAAAACACTCGACATCCATCCCTGACTGCAGTTTGGTAAAAATCAGGCATGAGCAAAGTTATTGCGTTCTCTTGGAGCATAAATGTTTTGGGAAGGAAGGCTGGAGAAGATACCCAAAGCACTCTGAGCCTCCAGCACTGGACAAGCACCATCCTGGTCTCTGTATTCCCAACCTGTCTGCAAGGGGGGAAGCTGGAGCAGCTCCGGGCCAGGAGTTGGCTCTGGCACGGGAAGGAGCAGTGGAATAAGCATGAGCTACTTAACCCATGTTCTCCCAGCCAAGCTACTCTCCATCCAGCTCTTTTCACTTATACGTATCCAAAATACAGAGTGATTTATTCCACACCCTTCCATGCTTTCTTATCCTACCAAGCTCTGAGCAGGATTTTTACCAAGCACCAGCAGCAGCCTGTGTTGAATTACTGAGTCTGCAAGAGCCTGTTCAACTCAATTTATTCAAATCAGCCTACAAAACTGCACATGCTGTTGAAGTGGGAGCCTTTTTCACCTTGTTTTTGCCTTATTTCTGCTGGATATCTTAATTTCAAAGTTTGTTTTGATCACCTTTAATTCCTAACTCCTGCACCAGAACACCCTGTACCTCGTTCTCCACCCAGAGCACAACAATTTCTTCATTACTGTTTCCTTTCAGAAGCAGAACTAAGAGCTGAACCTATGCAGAGCTGCCTCCATAGTTTAACACATCTTGGAGAATGTTAAGCAACAGATGTGTTAACGTCTCATTCTGTCCAGGGTAAAATGTCTTTGTGCATCCATTAAATGTTCAGCAACAGGAATATGAGGTCAGGCACATACAGTTTGGGGGCCCTGAAAAGGAGGGGGGGAGATCACAAAACTACCTCTTAAAAAAAATCATCTTAAGGTACTTCTAAGCAAATAAGAGATCCCAGGGATTCTACTCTAAGTTCTGCACAGGCCGCAGACAAAATTACCTTTGTTTCCTACAAGCACAGCATTAAAGCAAACAGTAAGGAATGAGGAGGCCACTTCGGGACTGGGGCAACCAAAAACTTCCTCAGGTGTTAGTGCAGTCTTTCAGCATCCCCCTCTGGTTTGACACGGGGCTGGGACTGAAGGAATCTGAGGTGGTCTTGGTGCTCACAGACAACCCAGAGCTGCCTAATAACAGGCTTGGGACAGGGTTTGTGCAGGTCATTCCACTGAGCTGCTGAAAATACCATTTCTCTGTTAACAACACCTGAAGTTGCAGCACAGAATGACTGTTAAACACTCGCACCCCTCCTAAAGAGAAATCCCACTCTTGTATGCACAGCCAGGAATTTGTGTCATGGTATGTCACAGCTACAGAGACTTTTCAGCCTCAATCAGGTTTGGGTGATGCGTTTTGGGGTGAATTCAGGAGCAGTTTCAGTGTGCAGAGAACTCTGCTTTTTGCAGGGAGGCTCCATGAACAGTCTATGAAAGTCAGATCCTAGAGATCAGGATTGTGAGAGAAGGAGATTAAATTCCCTTTGTACTTAATCATGTGCACAAGGAGGGAGGGATGTTCCAGAAGTTTCAGAAATATTAAAAGAACCTGGGTCCAGGCTCAGCAAGAACCTGTCATTGCTTGCCAGCCAGGTCACATAGGTCAGAAAGGATTTATCTCTATCTACAAGCCGTCACGGTAACATGAAACAGCTTGTGAGGAAGATTCCTGTTTTATTTAAGGGTGTCCTCCAGCTGCTCTGCAGCAGCAGAGCCGCATTCCTGCGAATCCTGCCTGTAAATGATGCGGCTCTTTGCGTGACCAGAAATTGTAAAAAAACCCATGTAAGGGCAGGCAGGCAGCACTGAATGCACAAAAGCAGCAAGAGATTTTTATATCCTGGGTTAAGGCAAAAAAGAGCCTGTGCCTGAGAAAACTTTGTTTGCTCATCCAAAGCTCTGATTCGAGCAGAGGGTGCAGGGACAGAGCTCAGTCCCACAGGTACCCTGCACTGCCTCACGCTGCTGTTTGAAGATGCAGCTCTCATGCTGCTCTATTTGCTGTGAAAAGAGCCGTTTCCCGTGAACTCTGTGACACCTGTTGCTTAGGGATGAGCCATCAGGCACGTGTGGCACCAACAGGCAGGTGACACCGGGGGGTCAATGCCATGACATCCCCAAAAATAACCCAACCGGCTCCAACTAGGAGACTTGCACAGGTGGCAACATTATGGTGCTAGTTCTGGTGTGAGATGACAAAACACTTCCAGAAGAGGCATATAAAGGGATCTGGTGTTCCATCAAAAACCTCCAGCTTGAAGAAATATCTCTGGCTTTACTCAAAGGCCTTAGTGTGACTTCTGTAGGTTTCCATGGATGAAAGTGTTTGTGACAGCTGCATAAATCAGAAATAACTGGAGATATTACAATTCTGAACTGAGAAATGAGATATTTGACCTGGGTTTGAATGCCAACCATCACATTTAGGAACTGCAGGGAGCCTATTTGTTTCCTGGGCTTTCCCAGCACCCGTGGCTCTAAGGTTTGGAAAAAAAGGGGGATGTTTTTGCAGACTATCAAGCTGTTAGGCAGCAAATTAAATTATCAACCTCTAGTTTTGGCAATATACCAGAAACGTGAATATTTGTTCCTTATCCTTTCTCTCCCCCTGGTTCCCAGTGCCAAGCTGGGGGCATGGCATGCACACAGCTGTCTACATCTGTACAGAAATAAACCCTCCCTGGCAAAGCATAAAGACATTTAGAACAGGAAGATAAGGGGGGTTTCCACATCCTTTAGTTATGTTTAGTATTTCCGCACAGTCAAGAAATCATGAGAAAAAAAATTGCAACTCAGTTCTGGCAATCACCAGCTCTGCTGCACCCATCTGCAACATATCATTCCATCTCAAACCTAATTTCTTAAGCCTCTTGTTCTCATTCTGCTGGTACACACACTATCATTCTCATCAGTCTGTGGGACTTCTTTCTGTGGTTTATAAACCTTAAATTAATTGGTTTTCTCAGTCTCCCTTACCAGCATCTTGCCCCTAACACTGCAGTAACAGCATCCACCCTCACCATCAGCTAAGAGCTGCAAACATCCACAGAAACAAAGCCCAGGAGCAAAGGTCTTCTGGTAAATGGAACTGAATGATTCATTCCTATCAAAGCTTTAAATTAAAAAGAAAATAAATTAAACACCTCCTCAGAAGGAGGTTTGAGGTCCTAGCAACAACAGAGTGCATAGTGCGTGTTTTGATTTTAAAACCATATTGGGCTCCATCCCCATTCTTTCCTAATTTTCCTACTCCCAATCCTCTGCAGGCTTTGTGGGCACCCTGAGCACTGTGTTTGCATTTTTGTAAGATGATCTCCTGTAGCTCTGAGATAGAATCACAGAATCACTAAGGCTGGAAAAGACCTTTAAGATCATCAAGTCCAACTGTCAACACAGCACCACCCCCACGTTCGCCTTGGAGCTCTGGTCCTTCATCAGGACAAGTCAGCCTAAATCCCACCACTGCACTTCCTGCAAGCCAGGCTGCTTTCCCCTCCCCTTTTCCATTGGCTTTACATTTATTTACACCAAATTCCACCTACCCTTCCATCACCTTATCACTCAGCCTGGGGAGCATCTTCTGTGTTTGTGTGCAGTCAGCTCTGTCCTCACTGAGTTGGTCAGCTCAGCAATGTCACCCAGCTCTGTCACCATCCCCAGAGCACATGCACCTGGCATGGCACAGCCTGGCATGGCACAGCCTGGCATGGCACAGCCTGGCATGGCACAGCCTGGCATGGCACAGCCTGGCATGGCACAGCCTGGCATGGCACAGCCTGGCATGGCACGGCACAGCCCTCTCCTGCCTCGCTGGGTTTATTTAGCAAACACCAGCTGTGCCGGGGTTAACGCGTGCGACTCTGTCGCTGCAGCACAATTACAGCAGCAGCAATAAAACGTACACTCTGCAGATTTATCCCTCTTCTCCCAATGTCATTCCGCTAATTGGACCTTACGTCACCACAGTTAAAATAGTTTTGTGACCGGGCAAATGCATTGCTTTAAAAATAATTATATAAGTTACATAAATTTTCCCCCTTATTACATTTCTTACACCCCTGGTGGTTTTAACTCCCCAGTAAGACAGACCTCTGAAACTTTACTGTGCTGTTTTGGCAATACATGGAATCAGATATTGATCTCTTTATTCATGTTTATGTGGGTTTTATTGGACACGTTATGGCCCCTCTCTCCTGGCTCGGTGCCAGCACATTGCTTGTCATCATCCCCTCACGACATCGTGACCAGCAGCTTTTCATTTTCTTTATCCTGCTGGCAACATACCACCACACTATCCATGGCAAAGTTCTTTCTTTTTTTGATAGGATTATACAACCAGAAATGAATTTAAATATATTATACTAAGTCAAAAAGGAAAAATTAGCAGCAGACTTTGAATGAAACAGGACATCTCCTAGTCAGTTAACAAAGATGATTCATTAAGGAGTAACTGAAAAGTAGGGAAACATATTTGTGCTAAATATTTTGATCCAATTGAGACTTTAACCAAGATTCTAAAGAACATCTCTCCTAAGGCTTCACAAGTTACTAAAAACATTTGCATAGGCAAAACCCACTGAAAAGAGTTGGTTTTTACATGTCACTAATGTAAATATTTTCACTCAGCCTTTTCTCTTTTGTAAGGACAAGTTTGTCATGTTTGTAAGGCTACCATGCTGTGGTAGGAAAGTCAAGAAGTCAAATCCTTCTGTAAAAATGTTAATTAAAAAAAATCTGGCCTGATAAAAGCCCAAATAATTTTGGAATCATTCTCAAGCATCAAGAAATTTCTAGGTCAGAAAGTTTCTCATCCCATTTCTCAGCCATAAGAAAACCAGGCCTTCCTGAGCCAGGGCATGCTCTGTCTTTCAGAGAACACACACATCTTCCCATGTTATTTTTGGGGCTATTTTTTGCAGGGAACTTTGAATTCTCCACAGGTTTTAGAAATAAACGTGCAGAATTCCTTCCCCAGGGTTGACTCATGAGCTTTTATAGATCCAGTGGCAACACTTTAAAATAATGGCCAAGCTCTTATTCATCCCCATGACATTTATTTTAATAACATTAATCATAATGAACTCATTTGGTATTAATGCAGGTGTCACAAGGCCTTTTATAGAATTCCTCAGGCATTCATTAGTCAGGCCATTATTTTTATTATTTTTCTAAAAGTTAATTTAACTGTGCCTGAAAGGTGCTGGACTAGCAGAGCCTGGTTGGGTTCACTGTTTACCCAAGGAACAAATATAAATCACTTCCTAAAGCACAGATGCCTTTTTGCTGGATTTTGATGGGATATGGGGCCAAGAATCATTTGCCTTCCCAGTGCCCAATGCCTTGCTCTGCCCCGGGTCTGATATCACCTGCTGAGCCCAGCACAGCTCCTGGCATCCAGGTGCTCCTATAATCATCACAATTTTATAAGAATATATATATATGTGTGTATATATATATATATACACACACACATATATATTAATAACCTTTTTTTCCCAGGCAGAGCCATGTTGCCAAGGAGCTGAGAAATGGTGACAAATCCTGTATCTTTGCAGGAAGATGTAAAATCACAGATTCACAGAATCACTGAGGTTGGAAAATACCTCCAGGACCATCGGGTCCAACCTGTGACCCATCACCACCTTGTCACCCAGACCAGAGCACTGAGTGCCATGTCCAGTCGTTCCTTGAACACCTCCAGGGATTGTGACTCCACCACCTCCCTGGGCAGCCCCTTCCAATGCCTGATGACCCTTTCCATGCAGGAATTCTTCCTGAAAAATGAGCCTCTTCTTTCTATGGGTTGCTCTTTAATGAAGGCTGTTCTGCGGAATCAAAGCTGTGATCTAAGGAGCACACCCGGGGCTCCTCAGAGTCTTTCTCTGAACAAGATAAGCAACGCAGCTCATCCAGACTCTTCATTCCCTAATCCAAACACTGACTCGTCCATAAATATTTGTGTTTTAAAGCTCCTCGCATTGCCAGGAGCTCAAAGGGAGAAGGAAAACACTCTAGATTTTAAAACTACAGACTAGAAATCCTGAGAGAGAAACCTGCTCTTCAGGGAAATCCTTCTTAAAGGAAAAACATCCCATTTTGAGCTGGATCCCTACAGAGGAGGGTACAGGCATATAATGATGGAAAACTCAGAAATCCAATACAGGCACCTGAGTAGAAGAGATAAATTATGGTAAAAGCCACACAAAGAACCCCACAGTACTGCTGAACTCCCTCCAGCTTAATTTTGATTCAACAGCCACATGCCCCTTAGATGACAGCTCCTGGGAGGTAAAGCAAGGAAATAATGTGAATTCTGGCTCCTTTTGCTGCTCTATGGCACATTTCAAGGGTGAGTTTATAACCACCCACATCTTCGAAATTCTCAGATTGTCATAATCTTGGAGAAAATATCCAAGCCTCCCAGCAGTAGTGCATTAAACAGACTTTGTTTTTCAAATAGAAAAGAATTAAATGCGAGGAGAAAGCAGACTACTGACTGTTTTGTGATGAGAATCTCAATTTTGGCAGTACCAAGAACACTTACATGGGAGAAGGAACAAGTTCAACCCTTACTCTGGCTTCTGCAGTTGTGGAATTAGTGTTGCACAGACAGGCCCTACTTTGACAACAGGCTGTGTGTTATCTGAGACAGTTTACAATCAGAAGATTTTCAGTTTTATATTCCAAGCCTCTGCAGAAAGAACTTTCCAGTAATAACACAGTGAATAAAATGCCTACATAATCCTGGAATGAGTCACCCTGCCTGCAGCAGATGATAACACAGGAACCGAAGTGCTCAGTAGTTAGACCGCAGTCTCTGCCCCATCTGCCTGAGCTGGCGTGAGAGGAGGAGGAGGAGGAGGAGGATGCTTGGCACGGAGACGTCGCCGATGGCTATCGGACAGCGGGCCCAAATGCCACGTGAGCTCTGGCTCAGGGATTTTCCTGCCACATGAGACCAGTTCTGGTCTCTGGGAACACACGGAAAGGCCACGAGTGGTTGGCTCACACCTTAATTTATGATCCAGCAGGAGCCACTTTCAAGGATCGAACTCTCCCAGCCAGGAAGTGCATGGAGAACCCACACAGGGTGGGATGTGGGGACAAGCTCCCTCTCTGGGAATGGTACAGGAAAAAAAAATTAAAAAGATAAAGAAGAGAGAGGGGGGGAAAGCTCTGCTCTGTCTGCAGCTCAACTGAAGCATCCTTTCAGCTCGGACTGTGACACTCAGAGTCACAAAGTTGCACTTGCTCTTTCATGCCAGTCTGCTCAATGCTGAAGAACAAGTCAATTTAGCAAAACCCACCAGGCAGACGATAAAACTGGGTCTGCAAGAGGGACACCAGATAATTTCCTTTCACATTGCAGCCATAATAACATCTGTGAGTTGGGTGTGAGCTCTGCTTGGCTCAGCAGCCACACTGGGACATGTCCAGCACAGACCTTACCCTAATGTTGTCACCCCGTGAGCACACTCAGCCCCTCAGCTCCAGCATGTTCTGTGCTGCAGCAGAGCCCACACCCTGACACAAGGAGCTGGGCAGCCCTGACCCAAGGCATCAAGTCAGCAGCAAGAAATTAAAGCATGTTAGACCCAACAAGCCAAAACCCAAGGGATGGGGATGTCGGGAGCAGCCCGGAGCCAGTCCAGCAGGGGATGCTAATGGACATATGTGTGAGACACTGGAATAATTCTAGCCATGCATTTGAGTTTTTGTCCAATTCCACTGAGAAAATGTTCTCACCTGACACCACTTCTCCTTTCAGACCTACAGCTTTTCCCTCACCTATGCAAGAATTTATAGTGCAGATAAATTGGATGGAGACTATTGACAAGAGCGTGGAGTGACAGGACAAGGGGGAATGATTTTAAATGGACAGAGGGGGCAGGTTTAGATTGGGTATTGGAAAGAAATTTTTGGTTGTGAGGGTGGTGAGGCCGTGGCACAGGTTGCCCAGAGAAGTTGTGGCTGCCCCACCCCTGGAAGTGTTCAAGGCCGGGCTGGACAAAGCTTGGAGCAATCTGGTCTAATGGAAGGTTGCCGCAGCCCACAGCACGGGGTTGTAACTGGATGATCTTTAAGTTCCCTTCCAGCCCAGAATATTCTATGATATTACACTCATTAAACTGCCCTAAGATTAAATTCCTCAGTACCAGAGTTACTGTAATTGCTACAGACTCATGTTTTCTTTCTCCTCTCCTACTGACTTTCTATTAAACTGTGACTGTTACCACAACTTCACCAGCAGACAGTTGTATAAATAATCTCATGTTTCAGGGGTTTCAGGTTACATAAGTGCTACTTCATGCTTTTCACAGTATATTTTATATACCAGTGAGAACATTTGCCCAGACAAAGAGGACACTCACACCTCTAAAACGATTCACATTCAAATTCTGTTGAACAATATATTTATATTAGTTCTTATTAAAACTATTACCACTTCCATGTCAAGCTTTTGGGAAAAGTTCTGGCCACTGGGGGAGTCCATAAGCATGTTTCCCCACACATGATGACAAAAGAAGCATCATAAACATGCCCAAATCACAAAAACATTAGATAATAGTTCTTCTATTTTTTAGGATATAAAGTGTGAGAATATTTTATTAGAGACATTTTGGACACTTCTTTATTACCTGGTTTAGAAAATATTAACATCAGAGTAGTTTTTCAGGCAACCTCAAAAAGTTTTTAACAAGGGAGATGAAATTCCAAGAGGAAGCAAGTTTTGAAATACGCTCTCCCATTTTGGCAACAGTATTTGGAATCAATATTTTCCATTACCTGGATAAATGGTGACGGAATGCGGGATAAGGTTGAGATGCAATACCTTGCTCTCTGATCTATACAGAATATCTACTTCTTGTGGTCTGATTGCATTGATTCCTCATTCCACTCACAAACGAGGCTGTGAGTTCATTAGAAAGGGAGACGCAGTTGCACAGTAGTTTATCCCTGTCACTCCGGAGCCGAGTCAGACTTCAGCTCCCTCACGGGTGAGCGATAATTAGGAGCATGTGCACGCTTGTCTTCGGAAGCTGCATAAATCTTCCTATAAAACCTGTTCCAGGTTTTCTCTAACCTTAATGCCTGAAACACTGGAACAGTTTCTCTTGGCTGCAAGAAGAAACATGAGATGCCTTCGCCAAACCCATTCACCTGACAATGCTCCAGAACAAGTTTTCCTGACTTTCTCTCACCAGCCACTGTGTGAGAACACAGCAGTGAGTGCTGCCTGCTCTGCTCCCAGAGTAAGTAGTGGAGAGGATGGAAGAGTATTTTACTGTGAGGGTGGCGAGGCTCTGGCACAGGTTGCCCAGAGAAGCTGTAGCTGCCCCATCCCTAGAAGTGTCCAAGGCCAGGTTGGATGGGGCTTGGAGCAACCTGCAATAGCAGGGCATGGAACTGGATGAGTTTTAAGGTCCCTTCCAACCCAAACCAGTCTGGGATGTCATGATTTTAAACAAAAGCAAAAAGCACAGATAAACAGGTCAGTCCTTCACTTCGGTCTCTTCTACAAATGTTTTCCTTCTGCAACCAAAACTGAGCCTGAAAGGTTACAGATTCAGAACACCTGGAATTCTTTTTTCTATTTTAGGGCCATTCACACACTGCTGCAGTATTACACCAACAGCTAGAGAAGTCATAGAAGAAGAAATCACATGGAAGAACAATCCACATTACAATTGCCACCTCATCTGTATCCAAAAGAAAGAAGAACCTCCCCTCCTGCTGCCAAGGGCTCAGCCAGCCCTCATGGTTTGTGATTTGCTCATAAAGATTCCTGTTTATGTACATGGTAACAGTGACCTGTGGCTCACACAGCCTCTACCAGATATTATCAAGTATGAATTTCTCTCTCAGGCAATGCAGGGCAGGAATCCAGTGTCCATCACATCCCATTGCCACTGCTCAACATGACTGCAAGGAAAGGAAACCCTGTGACTAAAGTACATCACACACAGGTTTTAGGCATCATAACAGGAAGCTGTTAAACTGTCAGCTTTGGGTGACAAAAAACCTGTTTTTCACTCTTGGAATGAAGAGATGAAATACCAGCAGGAGGGAGGAAGGGAGGGATGGATGTCACGAACCAAGATTTCAGGAAAGGCAGTTTAGTTTCCAGTGCCTGGCTTTGAGTTCTGACTTGGAGCTGACATCTGTCAGTCCTGTTAGATTAGACTGGTCTAATGTTTAATGGGACTTCAAAATTTCCAACTCCAATATGCCCACACAGACCCTCCCAAAATTATCAGGCAGGAACAATCTCTGGCACTATGGGGCTGTGCTAATTTGGATTATTAAAGCAGAGGGGCACACCCATAAATCCTTACTGATTTTGTACCTTTCTTTGCTGTGGGAATAAAGACACCGATTTTTTAAAATTACAGCAACCTGGCAGCAGAACTTGAGCCAAACCATCAGGCTATAATGAACACGGCCATGTCATTTCCAAGGCTCGGCAGGAAAGGCAGAGATGCATTAGGCACATTTATGTCTTACATTACAGGAGTTTCACTATACTCTGGGTGCAAGACTCCCAATACTTTTAAAAACTCTATCCTTAAAAAGGTAATGGCTGTGTCAGACAATGAAGTTAAAATAAGAAATGTGAAAGTAATAAAACACTATCCATAAGGTGCAG